CCAGAGATTATTGAGGAAGTTAAGAAATGTGTCAGCTTCTGCTCCCCGGGTCCCCACGTCATTATACAGGTCATCCGTTTGGGCCATTTCAGTGAGGAGGAGATCAAGGTCGCCAAGCTGATCAATAGTATCTTCAGCCTGAAGGCCAAGGCCTACCTGATTGTCTTGTTCACCCGCAAAGAAGACCTGGAGGGGCGCCCTCTTCAAGAGGTGCTGTCCGAGGGAGACGAAAGCCTGGAGCCTCTGAGGAAGCAAATCAAGAGTTGTGGGAATCGGTACCTGGCTTTCAACAACAAGGCGGAAGGGAAGGAACGGCAGGATCAGGTGGATGAGCTGATTCGGATGGTGGATGACCTCGCACGGAAGAACTCGGCGGAGCCCTATTACACCAAAGAGATGATGGAGGAGGACAAGAAGAGGGCGCCTGGATGGTCATGTACCCTCCTCTGATCCCGGAGTGTCTTCATCACCGACGGAGACCCCTGGGGGATACTGTTCAAACACACCTGGGTCAGCGCAGACAGCCACGGCTTTCCTTGGCTGCTTCATTCCAAGGCCGCTTTCCCCTCCCCTCAAAAGGCCACTGGACTTTGTTATTTCCCTGAAGAGGTTTTGCTCCTCATCCCAGAAGCTTCCTCAGATTCTGAAGAAGCTTTGGGGATAAGGAAAGAGACCTCTTCAAGGCAAAACCGAAGAAAGGCCCCCAGTGGCCTTCTAAAAAAGCATCTCTGGGGCAGCCATGAGCCACAGGATAGGGAATCACCCTAGACCGAATCACAATAGAGCTGGAAGCGACCGTGGAGGTCTTCTAATCCAACCCCCCATCACTCAAGAACTAAAGTCTATACAATCTTCTTAGAAATCCCCAGTGATGAATCCCTACAACTTCTGAAGTCAAGCTATTCCAATGGTTCATTCATTCATTCACACAACCAAAGAATAGTGCTGGGAGGGACCTTGGAGGTCTTCTAGTCCACCCCCCCTGCTCAAGCAGGAGACCTTATACCATTTCCTGTCCAATCTCTTCTTTAAGGCCTCCAGTGATGGAGCACCCACAATGTCTGGTGGCAAGCAGTTCCACCGGTTAATTGTCCTCACTGTCAGGAAAGCCCTCCTTAGTTCCAGCTTGCTTCCCTCCTGGGTGAGTTTCCATCCACTGTTCCTTGCCCTGCCCTCCGGTGCTTTGGAGAATAAGCTGCTCCCCTCTTCTTTGGGGCAGCCCCTCAAGCACTGGAACGTTGCTCTCATGTCCTCCTTTTCTCTAGGCTGGCCATGCCCAAATTTTGCAACTGTTCTTCCCATGTTTTTGTTTTCAGGCCTTTGAATCACCTTAGTTGCTCTTGGCTGCATTTTTCCCAGGCATTTTGCAGCTTCCGTTCTCTTTTAGGTTTGCGAGTAAAGGAACAAAATGGTATTTCAGGCTCGCTACTCGCTGGCTGTTGAGGGGGGACAGACGGATGGACGGAGAGTTGATTGGAGATTGTGACTCAGAGAGGGGAAAGTTTCCAAGTTTTTCCTTTTTATTGGAGGTAATTCTGGATCCCGGCCAGAGTCAGAATTACACCAAGTCCTTTGCCAATTCGATATGTTTCTAATAAACAGACTTTAACAGAAAACGGGTGCCTAGGGCTTTACTTCAAGGGATGCATTTCTTGGAAGCGTGACAGAGGGGCTGCCCCAGAGAGGAAGGGGGGTGTGTGTCAAGCTGCTTTCCAAAGCCGCCGAAGGCCGGACAAGGAACAATGGATGGAAACTGAGCCAGGAGAGACTCAACGTGGAAAGGGAGGAGGAATTTTCTGACAGTGAGAACAATCCACCCATGGAACGGAGGTTGTGGGAGCTTCGTCACTGGAGGCTTTCAAGACTGCCAGCTGTCAGAAATGGTACTTAGGGTCTCCTGCTTGGGCAGGGGGTTGGACTAGATGACCTACAAGGTCCCTTCCAACTCGGTTAATCTGTTAAGCCTGGAGAAACGTTGCCTTCATATAATGCACCAGGCAATGCAACAACCCCACCTCCAGCCCACAGCCCTTCAATCTCGCTCCAGAACGGAGGCGGGAAGGGGGAACCCCGGGGTCCCCGGATCACCATGTTTTCCTCCTCCATCGAGGCGCTCAACGGTTACCAACCGGTGGCTCTGACATCCGTCGTCACGAAAACCTTTGAAGGTTTTGGCCCACCTGAGACCCTTCACACATCCGCTGCCGTTCCCCTGGCAACCGTCACAGGCCAAAAGAANCGGATTCCCTTGGCTTGGCTGGGAGGGGGAGAAGAAACCAGAATCAGAAGAGAGCTGGAAGGGACCTCAGAGGTCATCTATTCCAATTCCTCCCCCCTCCATCTGCCAATGGGCCCAAGGGGAGCCCTCTTCCCTCCAGCGTTTCGCCGCTGCTTTTGCTTCCTTTTGGATGGGGGGGTGCACTCCCTTCTCCCCCCCCCCCGCCTCCTCCTCCTTCGCGGACTTACCTTCCAGCGGCTATTTTCAGGGGGGGGGGCGGAAAGCACTGCAGAGAAGCTCCGCTAAATAGCAGAGTCGGAAGGGACCGTAGAGGTGTTCTAGTCCAACCACCTGCTGAAGCAGGAAACCTTATCACTGGAGACAAAGCGCCACGTCCTTTTCCTGCGGGTGGGATGTGGTGATGGGGTGGGGGTGTCGTTTCGTGCTCTTTTCTTCAATCACGTGATTTCCAAGCAGCGCCGCCGCCCGGAGACTTTCATTTTCGCTTTCCCGCCTTCCCTGACCAGCCTGCCCCTGTTTGTTAATGAATCTGGGGGTGGCACCCCACTCCCCAGCGGACGACGCCCCTACTCCACCTCTCCCCTCTGGGCCTAACAAAGGGGGGATCTTCTGGGGGGGACGGGGTTCCCTTCACACGCAGGGCAAGGCAGACATTCTGGGGGGGCTCACTTCTTCCCAGCCCGTCCGTTTATTTTTTTTGGCGGGGGGAGCCTTTTCCTTTCAGACAGACGAACGGAGTTGGAAGGGACCCTGGAAGTCATCTAGTCCAACCCCCAAACAGGACATATGGCCATTTGTAACAGATGGGCCGTCCAGTCCCTTCTTGAAACTTGGGAGACCCGGTGAACAATTGGCGCAAACTGGATCAAGTCAGGAAAACCACTTGGCAAAATGTAGATCGAAAAATTGAATCAAGTTTGGATTTTGATAGGTTTTTAGTCCCTGTTTTTAGCAGGAACCGAAAGGCTTCATCCACCCGGGGATAAAAGGAACCTCATGAGGGGAACCAAATCCTGAACGCGTGTAGATGGTCTCCTTCTTGAGCAGGGGGTTGGGACTAGAAGACCCCCGAGGTCCCTTACAGCTGTCTTCTGATTGATCGATTGACGTCCCGGCCTGCCTGACTCTCCGGCGCAAATGAGGACATGGAGGGATGAGTCTCGCCCTTCTTTCTTTCTTTCCTTTTTTTCTTCTTCTGTTCTTTTTCTGACCCGCCCCGGGCGAAAGCGAAAGCGCGGAGAACGAAGCTAGAAGCGCCCGTTGTTTCTTCGGGTTGCTCGCTCGAACGCGGAACGCAGGAGTCTCCCTCCGATTCAGGTGGGTTCCCGGTGGGCTGCTTCCCCCCC